CGGTGATGATGGGCTCGAAAGCCGGCCTGGTGACTCGACTCCGGATGCGTATCCCTCACATGGTCTCCTGTCACTGCATCGCTCACCAGTAAGTTTTTTTTTTTTTTTTTTTTTTTTTTTTTTTTTTTTTTTTTTCGTATTTGCACAGATGGTGATTCGGGACAATACTAGCTATCACTCATGCTGGTTTGTTTGATTTCTCCCCGCTTTCTTTTCCATGTGCAGAGAGGCGTTGGCAGCTCAGGCGGCGGCGGAGGACATGCCGTTCTTCAACATCGTCGATGATGTTATCAAGGAACTGGCCGAGTTCCTTGGTCGCTCAGGACCGTGGCACCAGCGCTTCCTCAACCTCCAAGACGTCTTCCTCTCGACGTGCTTGGAGCTGCAGGGTATTCACCAAGTCAGATGGCTCTCACGTGGCGAGGCCATCCGACGACTGGTGAAGGTCTTGCCAGCCATCGTCGTCATGCTGTCAGAGTTTGCCGACGACCGTCTTTACAAGATTTTCACGAGCTACAGGTTTTGGTTTGTGCTCATGTTTCTTGCTGATGTCCTTGAGCAGATGAACATTCTCAACAAGACTTTCCAGAGCCGCGAGGTAAGTTTCGTCACATGGTGTTTCTAAACCGCTACTGACAAACCATTGTTGTCTTACCTGCATTCTCAAACCCCTTCCCGCAGCTGGACATGTCAACGATTTACGCGTCGGTCTCCCGCGTGACGTCCCTCCTTGAAAGCCGCTACGTCGACTGCGGCAACGACTTCAACGGGGGCCCAAAAGACCTGCTCATGGCCTTCCTCGACCGTCACGGTCCTGGTGGTACGCGCAGCGTCACTGTTGAGGGCATCGACTCCGATGGGCGCCCGAGTCGATTCACTTTCGACCTGCATGAGGAGCCATTGGATGGCTACCCGGGTGAGGGCAAGCACGACGATTGTGACGTGGCGTGCATGGCGCTGGCCGAAGGCATGGTGCAGAACCTGGACGAGCGGCTGGGGGACTTGAAGCAGCTGTGTGGTTCGATGCTGTTCTGTGCGGACCAGTGGCCCAAGGGGTGGGAACTTGCTCCACGGAAGGCCCAATGTCTAGAGTGGTTCGGGATGATGGTCGACTTCTACCATGCAGGGGAAGCCGAAGAAATTCTTCCAGGTATCGTCTTTAACCCCGAGGCTTGCACGATTTGTTGATCTGGTCCGCTCTACCCTACTGTACTAATACTCTCCTCGTTCTCCCTCCTACCCTTCCCCTACTAGCAGGCATCAACAAGCGAGCGGCTGCGCTGGAGATCCCCCATTTCTGCCCCGTCCTTGTCGCCCTGCCAAAGGGTGACAAGGGTTTCTACACCGGCTTGACGACCATGCTGAAGTCTCCAGACTGGGAGGATAGCTTCCCCAATCTCGTCAAGCTGTGGTGCGCTACGGCAGTTCTTCCCCTCAGCACAGTGGAATGTGAACGAGGGTCCTCCCGCCAGAATGTGATTAAGAGCTGGCTGCGGGGCAGCATGAAGGACTCACGCCTTCGAGACTTGATGTGTATGAGCCTGCTAGACTACGACCCGGACTGGGATGCCATCATTGACATCTGGAGAGCCTACAAGAAGAGGAAGCCCTACATCACTGCCCCACAGAGCAGAGCCCAGAAGAGTAGGAAGGGTAAAGAGAAGGAGGACGATTCCCCTATAGTTCACGACAGCGTGCAGGCAGAGGAGGATGCTTAAGTAGGTCCTAGTATGCCCATGTTAAATTGTAAACCCTTGTCTTTAAAGAATATAGTAATAATGGGCATTTAGTTGAACAGTGTGTTTTTTGTACGTAACTCTGTTTTTTCAGCGCAAATTTTTTACAACACCCTGATTGATCAGCGTAAGTTTCTTTGCGAGGCCTGAAAAAACAGTGAGGCAAGGGGGGGGGGGGGACCCTGAGCGATCAGCGTGCCCCAAAACGAATCCGAGGCCCTGCTTTGGACCCTTGCCTCAGAGGTTGGACTAGTAGTGCCACCCTGAGCTGTGTGTCTCTTGCTATTCGCTGCCCCTTGTCTAGCCTAGGGGGTGTGTCAACATATAATTTGTATATGTTATTAGCTAGCTAGGTGCATGCTCATATAGAGTACAAGCCCTTAGGTGATATCCTCTTGTACCACCTTATTCTAGCCAATTTGTTATACTCTAAGAGGAGACATTACCATTTGTGCAATTAGTCAATTTGTGCACAGGAGACCTTACCATTAGTGCGCATGCCATGTGGCAAAAACATGGGCAATTTTTGCATGCCTAAAATTTCAGTGTGAATGTTATAGAAATCAGCTGAGGTGCAGCAAATCTAGGCGTGACAAAGTGCAGTACGTAACCTACACGCGCAAAGCGGTGCAGCAGTGTTCGTCACCGGAAGATTTTCCGTGGGAGTCCAAAAAATGTCGTGGATTTGACCCACACCCCTCCTGAGGGGCCCAGCATGTGGGGCAGGCTGAAATTCGCAGGGCAGCATTTTTTTTCCATTCGATTGGATTCCTGGCCGGGGCTGGTACGTGTGAGGAGCTATGGAATCCTTTATGAAAAAGTGCCAGCTGTGTTGGTCCTAAGCTGCGGTTGTTATTGAACGGACCTCACTTCAGAGTATTTTTTCCTGGCTTCCTGAGTTATGCTTGGCTGGTTTGGTCCCTGGGTTGGTTTTAGATCGCTCGTCGTTGACGAGCTTCGACCTCGCATGATACAGTGTTGAAAATGTATTTAACTACTGCAACCCCTTAATTGACGTTGATACACCACACTTAGCAAAACACTTCCCCCTTCCCCCCCCCCCCCCCAAACCCCCCATTGGTACTAACTGTATGACAGAAGCGCAGACGGGCAGGCGAGAAACGTTCCATGGCGAGCAGGCATTTGAAAGTGCATTTATGATGCGAGTAACTAGCCAGCACAGGTGTGGTCAGCTCTTCTCGGGATCGTCCCTCCACGTCGGGTCGCTTCCTCATGAAGTCGAAACGGATTTCATTTCGCACTTGCGAGGTGCATATGCCGCCACATCACCAAATCGCAACTCGCGCTTCCAGCTGCTCCATGCAGACGCAAGTTCCGGATCGCTTATTGATAACGTTCACCATCCCTCATGCCGCACATCATGACCCCCTCACGTTGCCAGACTGTCGGTGACTTGGGTTCGATTTGTTCCCACGAGGGTGTGTGGTTATAATACAGCACCCATGCCGCGTTGGACTTCAAAAGTGCCAGGTGCTGACATGTAACAGGTTGAGCACAGCAAATTGAAGGTTGACGCGGATCAAGTTGTAAGCGGATCAAGTTCGCGGCTGAGAGGAAGCGATGTGAAATCGAAGGATGGAAATCGAGTGAGGAATCAGGTGAGGAAAGTGGCGGAGGAAGGGAGTGAGGTGGGACTCGAGAGGAGGGAGTGAGGGGGGGCCACCGGCGCTGATGTGTTTGGGTGGCGGGCAGTTGGTGGCGCGTGGTTTGGATTGTAAGGGGTGGAGGGGATAGATTCGGATTCATTGCGCTTAGGCGCACTTACGTACCACTGGACTTCTGGCGGGCCAGGCCATCCCGGCAAGGCCTCGGGGAACCGGGGGGACCAGGGGGAGCAAAACTGCGCAGCTTCCAACATCGCTCAGCTTGGGGAGGCAAGAAGAGAAGGGGGGTGGCGGAGAATTGACCTGGTGGACAGGCTTCCAAAAGACTCCGCGGAGAGGAGGGAACCCTCGTCCAGCCAGAGCAGAGGGGGCTGCGTGCACCAGCTTTCGTGTCCCAGCCCAGGCTGAGGAGGAGCACCAGCGCAGGATCAGCATTTTCTGTGAGCAGTGAGCAAACCACCAGAGCATAAAAGAGTGGAGCCATTCCACATTCTGGTAACAGGATCAGCAACCAGCCTTTTACCAACCAACTTGGTCAGCATACCCTCGCCTTAGCGTCTAGTCAACGAGTAAGCAAGTCCCCAGGTTCACTCACAGGCGAATCGTAATACCTTCGCGTTTTTCTCTACAATGGATTACACAGGATCAGCCGCAGCAGTCTCCTCACCTTGGGACACGAATTGCGACAGCCAATGGGAGCGCTACACCTCGCTCTACCCCTCCACCCGTGCCGCTAATCTCTACGCCGACGGCAGCGGCGCCGCGAATCTCATTAACGACACGGACGACTGCGATTCGGACTCAGAGCAGTACTACAACTCCCGCTTCTCCCTAGATTCCAACTCCTCGGATGGGAGCCGTCACAGCAGCGGCGCGTCGTGCTGGGAGGCCGAGCTCGCGTGCGACCCGGTGTGGGTCGACGACGCTCGTTCGCGGATTCGCCACGCGGCGCTCGCCGTCGTCGAGACGCAGCAGGCCGTCGCAGCCGCCAACTGGAAGCAGCGCTGCTTCGCTGACTTTTCCGACGACTGCCCGGAAACGGTTGACGATTTTTGCGGCTGCCCGGCCGCCGCGCAGCCATGCCCGCACGACGAGCTCGCCGCTTCGTACCGCGCGAAGTACGAGCCTGCTGAAGCGCGCCGAGCCTCCTCCCGTCCGTCTTCAGCCGGCGAGTCAAACCCTAACGTTGCCTCTCCACGCCGCGGCAGGAAGGGATTTTTTGGAAAGACGAGCGTGCGTAGCAGCGATGACGGCGCTTCCGAAGAGGTTTCGGGGTCCAGCAGCGAGCCGAAGGCGAAGAGCCATCGCAGGGGCCTGTCTTCGTACCTCTCTGGATGGATGTAACCCGTAGGGTTACCATCTTCTTATAGATACTAGCTAGTTGGAGGAGGCACTTAACAACAGGTTACGGGCGCGTGGCGTCCCCGTGCCTCCTCTCAGCCCTAAGGCGTGCTGCCATGTTTTCCCCGTATTGCGGGTGCCTTTTGTTGATGAATCCAGTTTACGGATCAATTTTCTGACTCACCTCTTTGAGGAAAAAAAAAAAAAAAAGTGCTAGCTAACCACACAGAGAGAAGTCTCGTGTTCCTATCTGGGCTCGTCACACATGCGTGAATTATGACCAAAACTGCCATAGGAAAAATCAGACTTACCGTATAATTTTGGCATGTGTGAAGTTCACTAGAGAGATCTGAGCTGAACGTGGACGTGGTTGGGTTGGGCCATCAGCAGCACACGCATACCACATGTCCTAGGGGTATAGCAGCAAACTATGGCGTGGGGGCGTGTCCCCCAAGCGTACTTGGTTGCTCAATAATACCCTACCCAACCACTTCAGATTGATATTTGACCCTTCTGTCTCAAAAAGCACCTCACCCAACCGCAATCAGACAGACGCTCGGGCCGGGAGGGATACATCCTGACTGCATAATTGGGCCATCAGCAGAACATAAATGTGTGGTTGGGAGATTGCAGCATCCTAGTGCTTCTTGAGGATCCCACAATCCTGGCCAGCTGCATTAAAGATTATTTGTTAATGCAACAGGATACACACAGATAGTACAGATAGCACGCACAAGGGAAGAAGGATATATTACTGTCAACCATACTCCCAGCCAGACAGAACCAGGAGGGTGCCGGGAGTGGATGGACGGGGGCACAAGCTCGCCTGAGGAGCCTGAGTTTGAGAGAGAGGCGCACGCAAGCTCGCCTTGAGGTTATTGAGGGTGCAAGCTCACCTCGAGGTTATCGAAGCGAGTGAAGATGGCCGAGCAAGAAGCATTGTCCACCCCTTCTAACAGGTTGAGGATCTACCAGGGGAGGGGGAGAGGGGGGGGGGTATATGCAAGGGGGTTTACGTGGAAGGGTGAACGAATGGAGGGCTGAAGGGAATGAGTAAGTACAGGAGGGTTTGGGGTTCTAATACGAGGGGGTTCTACCGTAATACGGCATGTTGCCCACCCCATTAACAAGTTGAGGATCTGCGGGGAGGGGGTATGCAACGGGGGTGTAATGAGTCGATTTTTGAGTCGACTCAAAAATCGTATGCAACGGGGGTGTACATGGAAGGGAGAGAGGCGACAGAGGGTTGGCACGTTTAAGACCCAATGCAAGGGGGTTTTTGTGGACGGGTGAGACATGACAGGGGGGTTGGGAAAGGGTAGAGAACAGGGGAAGAGGCCAGCAGAGGCGTTGTTCACCCACGCACAGGACACAAAAGGAGCAGCACGCACGCATGCAAGTTGACATGCTCGCACGCACCCACCTCAGCATAGAAGTGTGCGTAACAGGGCAGAGAGTAGAAAATGACCTCCCGAATGCCCCGGATCTGAGAAGCAGGGAAGAGGAGAAGGCAGGGGAGGGAGAGGGCAGGGGATTGAGACAGCAGGGGAGGGAGAGCGCAGGGGAGGGGAGAAGGAAGGGGAGGGGAGAAGGAAGGGGAGGGGAGAAGGAAGGGGAGGGAGAAGGCAGGGACAGGGGAAGGCAGACAGCGGAGGGAGGAGGCAGGGGCGGGAAAAGCTGGAAATACGAGCAGAGTGCTTCGAGCTGAATGGTGCACCAGCAGTAACACAGAAACTAGATCTGACCAGACTTCTCTTCACCAACACCACAGCGAACAATTACAGTGCGGAGATAAAAATGATACTTGAACCCTGTGTGGTGGTGGTACCCTGTTGTACATCAGTGGCAATACAGGCGCAGCTGCCACACACTGTAGCGGTGGTAGAAGTGCGGTTATTAGTGGTAGAAGTGCGGTTATTTGTGGTGGAAGTGCGGTTATTAGTGGAAGAAGTGCGGTTATTAGTGGTAGAAGTGCGGTTATTAGTGGTAGAAGTGCGGTTATTAGTGGTAGAAGTGCGGTTATTAGTGGTAGAAGTGTGGTTATTAGTGGTAGAAGTGCGGTTATTACTGGTAGAAGTGCGGTTATTAGTGGTGGAAGTGTGGTTATTAGTGGTGGAAGTGCGGTTATTAGTGGTAGAAGTGCGGTTATTAGTGGTAGAAGTGCGGTTATTAGTGGTGGAAGTGCGATTATTAGTGGTGGAAGTGCGATTATTAGTGGTAGAAGTAAGGAAATAGAGATGTAGCAGTGCTAGAAGGGCGGAACTGGAGATGACGTCGGTACCCTAGTACCCTGTAGCGGTGGTAGAAATGGGACCGTTCCGAGTAGAGCATGATGCGCCGCCGGTTCTGGAAGAACCACGCTCGGGCCCGGTGCACGTTGCGCTCGTCCGTGTATCTTTTGGGGAGAGGGGAGAGGGGAAGAGGGAGACGGGGAGAGGAAATGGGAGATAGGGGAGGGGAGATGGGAGATGGGGGAGGGGAGAGGGGGGGAGGGAGTGGGAGGAGAGCATTGAACAAGGTGAGAGGGAGGGCAGCCTCAAAGCAAGAACCAGGCACGGGCCCCGCGATGTGCACGTTGCGCTCGTCTGTGTTCCTTGAAGAAGCAGGGCGGAAGGGTGCGGCGGACGGGGGAGATGCGGGTGGATGAATCCTTGGGACGGGGGCGACGCGGGTGGATGAATCCTTGGGACGGGGGAGACGCGGGTGGATGAATCCGTGGGACGGGGGAGAGAGAAACTAAAGGAGATAAGTAAGGGGGCACGGAAGGGGTGTCAAGAGAGAAAGATGTCTAAATAGAAAAGAGGCAATGTGAGAGGTGGGAAGGAAAGAGAGAAAAAGGACGGCGAGGGAGGAGAAGGAGACGGAATGCAACGAGAGGAGACGGACGTGAAAGGAAAGGCTATCAGACCAGTAGGGCATAGCATACTCAAAGAGGAGGCAGAAAGAGAGATTCTCTTGCTTAAAGGAAAAGAGGACACAGGAGCTTCTTTCTTGAAGGGGGTGGAAGGAGAGAGATTGAAAGGTCTAGGTGATCGAAGGGGAAAGAACGGAGGTGAAAGAGAAGAACGAACTCGGAGAGGAGGCAGAAGGAGAGATTCTCCTGCTTGAAGAAGTTTCTGAGCCGTACGAATTCAAAGTAGGATTGCACGTAGACCAGCACGCCGCCCTGTGGGTTGAGTGGGGCAGAGAGCGGGAGGAGAGGTGAAACGGCAAGTGAACGCAGTGGTGCCTCGCAAGTGTGAGGGCAGACTCAAAGTAGGACTGCACGTAGACCAGCACGCCGCCCTGCGGGTTGAGTGGGGAAGAGAGCGGGTGGAGGGATGGGTGGGTGGGACGTGGCATGGGAAGAGCATGCGGGCAAACTCAAAGTAGGAGGGACAGATGCAGCGCATGTAGACCAGCATTCCGCGAGTGAGATGGAAGGTGGGTGGGTGACGCTTCGGGAAAGCATAGACATCGTTCTCCAACTTAGAGAATGATGTCACAATGACCAACACGCCGCCCTGCGGTGGTGGGGAGAGGGTAAAGCATTGATGTCTCGATGCAGAGGGACACGAAGGGGTATGGCAAATATTGGGAGACGAGAAAGGGGAGAAGAGTAGGGGAGAGGAGGAGACGTGGGGTAGAGGATGTAGGGTGGAAAAAGGGAGAGGGGTGGAAGGAAAGTTAAGTGCAAGGGTCGGATCGGGAGGAGGAAGAAAGGGAGGATAGTGGGGAGTGCAGGGAAAGGAGTCTAGTTTTGAGGCGTGCAAGGAAAATATGCTGTTTAGTAAGAATTTCGAGGCGCCTAAAAAGAAACTAGATAGTGGGGAGTGGAGGGAAAGGGTGTTGGTTTGGTAAGGGAAGATCTAGAGGGTGCTCACTTAACTGAAAGCAAGTTTTGAGGTGCCTCGGAGGCAGTTTTTGAGTCGACTCAAAAATTACTCACAGGCAGCACCTGAGTTTGAAGTGGTAACGAGATAATATGAGAGCTCACTTGAACGGAGTCCCGGAGGCGTGGGAAGATGGTCGAGACAAAGAACTGGAAGCAAAGCGACTTCAGAGCTACCTTGAAGCAGCTTTGGGGCACTTGGGGCTTTGGGGCACTTGGGGCTTTGGGGCACCTCAAAAGCAGACCGTGTGAGCGTACCTGGACCGAGTCTCGGGGAGGGGAAGACGGTCAAGACAAAGAACTGGAAGCGTGCCTCTGCATAAGCACGTGAAGTGACAATGACGAGATGAGAGCTCACCTGAACGGAGTCCCGGAGGCGCGGGAAGACGGACGAGACGAAGAATGGAAGCGCGCCTCTGCATAAGCACGTGAAGTGACAATGACGAGATTATAACTTACCTGAACGGAGTCCCGGAGGCGCGGGAAGATGGTTGAGACGAAGAACTGGAAGCGCGCCTCTGCTGCCGCTGTGATGGCGGTGCAGTCAACGCGGTCAAACACTTGTTGAATCTGCGGCACCACGAGAGCCAAGACCCCAGAGTATTCCGACCTCAGCTTCACCTGGAGGTGGATGGATGGAACAGAATGAGGCCGAGAATATCAATTGTAATGTGGCTGTGGCGAACGGACATGTGATGGCAGCGCAGTCAAAGCGGTCAAACACCTGTTGAACGCGGTCAAACGCGGTCAGACGCAGTCAACGCGGTCAAACACCCGCTGGATCTGCAGCACCACCAGAGCCAAGACTCTGGAGTATGTATTCAGACCGCTGCTTCACCTGGAGGTGTTGGGAGGAGTGGAAAGAGGTCTGGAGGGATTGAATGCCACAACGTGGCACGCGGATACGGGATGGTGGCACAGTCAACGTGTTCAAACACCTGCTGGATCTGCGGGGCCATCATGGCCAGCACTCCAGAGTACTCTGGCGTCATTTTTTAGAATCTGAAAAGAATGACTCCTCCTCCTGATGTTTGTGTCGACTCAGAAAGTCATTTTTGAGAGTTCTCAAAAATGAATCCAACTGCTGGATCTGCGGGGCCACCATGGCCAACACTCCAGAGTACTCTGACTGACCGCAGCTTCACCTGGAGGTGGTGCGTGGAACACCTGTTGAACGCTGTCAAACGCGGTCAAACGCGGTTCAGTGTGTGGCTCACTGAGAGGTTCAGTGTGTGGCTCACACATAGAAGATCATAAGGCGGCATAGGGACGCGTGATGTGATGTGATGTGATGTGATGTGTTGGGGATGTGATGTGACGTGATGTGATGTGTTGGTGATGTGATTGTGCAAACATGTATTCGGACTACGAGAGCCAAGACTCAGGAGTATTCGGGTTGTGAGTCCAGCGCTTGATCAGGAGAAGCCTTCACTCTTGCGTTATCCCAATCTCTAGGCTGAGGGCGTACCTTGCCTGAGAAGTTGGAGCAGGCTCGGTGGAACAGTGCATTGATTGCTGCAAGAAGAAAGGGGGGAAGGGGGGGATGGACACCAGTTGGATTGGGTGAGGGACGAGGAGAGGCGGGCTGAGAAAGAGGATAGCGAGAAATGTGGAAGGGAGTGATGGGTAAGAGTGGTGGTGAGAGAGGTAATGGGGGGCAAGTGAGGCAAAAGTGTTTCGGGTTTAGGGCAAAAGTGTGATAACCATCCAGTTTTGAGAGGTAATGGGAGTGATGGGAAAGAATGTTGGTCGCAAGAATAGTGTTTGATCAAAGAGGTGATGGGGTGGGGACAAGTGGTGGTGGGAGAGGTGATGGGTGGGGACAAGTGATGGTGGGAGAGGTGATGGGTGGGGACAAGTGGTGGTGGGAGAGGTGATGGGTGGGGACAAGTGGTGGTGGGAGAGGTGATGGGTGGGGACAAGTGATGGTGGGAGAGGTGATGGGGTGGGGACAAGTGGTGGTGGGAGAGGTGATGGGTGGGGACAAGTGGTGGTGGGAGAGGTGATGGGTGGGGACAAGTGATGGTGGGAGAGGTGATGGGGTGGGGACAAGTGGTGGTGGGAGAGGTGATGGGTGGGGACAAGTGATGGTGGGAGAGGTGATGGGTGGGGACAAGTGGTGGTGGGAGAGGTGATGGGTGGGGACAAGTGGTGGTGGGAGAGGTGATGGGGTGGGGACAAGTGGTGGTGGGAGAGGTGATGGGTGGGGACAAGTGATGGTGGGAGAGGTGATGGGGTGGGGACAAGTGGTGGTGGGAGAGGTGATGGGTGGGGACAAGTGATGGTGGGAGAGGTGATGGGTGGGGACAAGTGGTGGTGGGAGAGGTGATGGGGTGGGGACAAGTGGTGGTGGGAGAGGTGATGGGTGGGGACAAGTGATGGTGGGAGAGGTGATGGGGTGGGGACAAGTGGTGGTGGGAGAGGTGATGGGTGGGGACAAGTGGTGGTGGGAGAGGTGATGGGTGGGGACAAGTGGTGGTGGGAGAGGTGATGGGTGGGGACAAGTGATGGTGGGAGAGGTGATGGGGTGGGGACAAGTGGTGGTGGGAGAGGTGATGGGGTGGGGACAAGTGGTGGTGGGAGAGGTGATGGGTGGGGACAAGTGGTGGTGGGAGAGGTGATGGGGTGGGGACAAGTGGTGGTGGGAGAGGTGATGGGTGGGGACAAGTGATGGTGGGAGAGGTGATGGGGTGGGGACAAGTGGTGGTGGGAGAGGTGATGGGTGGGGACAAGTGGTGGTGGGAGAGGTGATGGGTGGGGACAAGTGATGGTGGAGAGGTGATGGGTGGGGACAAGTGGTGGTGGGAGAGGTGATGGGGTGGGGACAAGTGGTGGTGGGAGAGGTGATGGGTGGGGACAAGTGATGGTGGGAGAGGTGATGGGGTGGGGACAAGTGGTGGTGGGAGAGGTGATGGGTGGGGACAAGTGGTGGTGGGAGAGGTGATGGGTGGGGACAAGTGGTGGTGGGAGAGGTGATGGGTGGGGACAAGTGATGGTGGGAGAGGTGATGGGGTGGGGACAAGTGGTGGTGGGAGAGGTGATGGGTGGGGACAAGTGGTGGTGGGAGAGGTGATGGGGTGGGGACAAGTGGTGGTGGGAGAGGTGATGGGTGGGGACAAGTGGTGGTGGGAGAGGTGATGGGGCGCAAGGGAGGCAAAAGCGTGGTTCATTGGACCTGTAGACGAGGTGAGGCAACGGGCACTGACGTGACGATCGACAGTGGTTTTTGATATGAGGAACCAGTCGTCTACCAAAGGGCTGCTGACAGCAAGTAACCGACAGGGCTGTTGCAGAGCAAAGCCCTCCTTGGGAGCGAATGGGAGCAGAAGGCGTGCATGGGCGGTGGGTGTGCCGTGAGGCTTAGAGGGGTGGGCGCCTTGTGAGGCTTACAGGGGTGGGTGAATGCGGAGAGAATTATGGACTGCCTGTAGTGAGCCGCCCAGCCGTTGAGGTACCTGGGGGGTGGAGTGGAGGTGTAGAGGCCGGGGGGAAGCAAGAGAGGAGCCGAGGAAGGAAGAGAATGATTGACTGCCGGTAGTGTGCCGCCCAGCCGTTGAGGTTACCTGGGGGTCGGATGGGCGATGGGGGGAAGTGGGGATGAGTGATCGGAAATGTAGCGGGAGACGGGCAGGAGCAGGAACGTGAATAAGGGCGACGGCTTGTAGGAACACGATTTTGGAGGCCTAAAAAGTTTTATAGAAAGATTGTGAAGTCAGTCCTAAGCTAAGTGGCTTCACAGGCAGGCGCTGACCTGTGAACACACAGGCAGACAGGTGGGAGAAGAGGGAGAAGAGGGCAACACTCCCTCTTCTCACTCCCCCACCTCGTTGCCCCCTCCCCCCCATTAGGGCTCACCACTCTTGCACACGCCCCATGTTAGCCTAACTTCCCCTAACCATCCCTCCCCTCCCCTCTTCCCCTCTCCCCTCTCCCTGCTCCATTCACCACTCACCATTCTCACACGTGCATGAAGTCCGTCACGTGCTGCTTCACTGGCAGCCTGTTGAGCTGAGAAAATACAGTCTCTCTCCCCCTCCCCTCCCCTTCCCCCCACTCTTCTCGTCACCCCCGCTCCCCTCGCAATCTCACCATTCTCGCACGCGCATGAAGTCCGTCCCATGTTGCTTCACCGGCAGCTTGTTGAGCTGAGAGAACACCGACTCCATGTGCGCCCAGTTCTGCAGGGAGGGAGGGTGAAGTAAGCTGGGTATGGGGGTGACTTGGTGTCGCAGTGGTTGGTTGGCATCATGCCTCTAGAGTGGCGCCATCCGCATGATGAAGTAGTCGGACCTGGGCTGCAGTGCAGCATCACCACCGGCAGCTAGTTGACCTGGGAAAACACTGACTCCATGTGCGCCCAGTTCTGCAGGGAGGGAGGGTGGGGTGGAGTGGGGTGGGGTGGGTTTCGGGTTGCATGAGGGTTTCGGGTTTAAGGTCTCGGGTTTTGGGTTGTCGCAGCGATTAGCAGCGGTAGTGACGATATCCGCTCGAAGTCGGTGCGATGCTGCATGACCACTGGCAGCTTGTTGAGCCGTGAGAACACCGACTCCATGTGCGCCCAGCTCTGCAAGTAATGGGCATGGCTGGCACGGGTGAAGGCGGTAGTGGATGATTCTAGAACGCATGCCAAAGAAGACTAACATCTTTGAACGGATGGGGAAAATGGGTGTGTTTGTGTGTGTGTGCCAGCTCCGTATCCTCCTACTAGCACAGGGACTGCATGGTCACAGCACAGCCCAGCACAACCCCTCAAAACCAAACCCAACGCAACCCCAGCAGAAAGCGAACTGAAACGTTTGAACGGACAGGATTCATCTGGCAGATCGAACGAAGGACCAGCCTTAGTGAGCGTTTAGGCATGCAGCCTTAGTGAGCATGACTGCATGAGGATGACGTCAGCATACCTGCATCAGGATGACGTCAGCTTGGTCCACGATGACAATCTGACGTGGCAGGGTGAGAGGTGGTGGGGGATTGGGGAGTCAAAGTGAGAGAGTTGGATTGGGAGGGGGGATGGCAGGCAAAGGGAGGGTGGCGATGTTGAGGTAAGGCAAGCGAAATCCCAATCTGCATGGCATAGCAGCAGCAGCAGCACCACCACCACTAATTGATTCCAACTGACATGGATTCCCGCATTGATTGTGGACCGCACTGACCTCAATGGATGACAGAAAGTCCATGTCCTTTTCACTGTCCTCCAGAGCCTCTCCCAGCTTCCAGCATTGACGTGCGTTGAATTACATTGACCAGCAGTGACCAGCACGAACTTGCATGCACAGCACTGAACGCACCTCAATGGACGAGAGGAAGTCCATGTCCTTCTCGCTATCCTCCAAAGCCTCTCCCAGCTTCTGTGGGAGTCAGGAGAGCGGGAGGTAAGTGGGGTGGTGAATGAAAGGAATGCAAGGAATAGAGTATGGTACACATTTCACGTGAAGTGCTTGGCATCGCATGGCATTGAACTGGAGTGATGGAAACAGAAGCGGGAAGCAGGCAGAGAGCAGGGAGGCAAAAGAAGGCGGCAAACTGGATGGCGGCAAACTGGAGGGCGGCCAAGGGCTCACGGTGACGAGGCCGATGGGCGAAGCAACGATGATGTCAGACTGGTAGAAATCAGTGTAGAGCTTTACGGACTTCCTGGGATGGTGACGGATGGTGGATAATGGATGATGGATGGTGGGTAATGGATGGTGGATGGTGGATGATGGATGATGGATGGTGGATGATGGATGGTGGGTATTGCATGGTGGATAACGGATGACGGATTATGGATGGTGAATGATGGATGATGGACCCCTCGCGCCTAGCCGGCCCCTCACGCCCAGCCGGCCCCTCACGCCCAGCCGGCTCCTAGCACGCCGTGACTAATGGATGATGGATCACGGATGATGGGTGTCGGGGTGACGAGCAAACGGACATGAGAACAAGGAGGTGTAAGATTAGCTCACACAAAAATAGCACAGGCATGGCATGGCATGGCATGGCATGGCATGGCACCGCATGGCACGGCATGGCATGGCACGGCATGGCCTGGCACCGCGTGGCATGGCATGTCACGGCATGGCATGGCACGGCATGTCACGGCATGGCAAGGAACAGAGGAGGAGCCAGCAGTTACTTGGTGAACTTGATGCCGAGGCGGAAGTGGTCGTCGTTGTTGCCACCAAACATCGCCCGGTGGTCCACCGGCTTCAACCCCTTCTGCAACACTGCCACCGCCGCCGCTGCTGCTGATGCATCCCCATCCCCCTCTTCTCCACCCCCACCCCCTCCCCTCCCCCCATTCTCTCCCCCTCCGCCCTCCCCCTCCTCCTCCTCCCCTGCGTCCCACGAGAGCCCCCTGCCCACCTGCTGCTGCTGCCTCCTCCTCTTCCTCTGCCTCGCCTTCTCCCTCTCCCCCTCGTCCTCCTCCTCACTCTCCTCCTCCTCGCTCTCCTCCTCTCCAAACTCAGCGAGAAAGCGGTCTAAATGCTCCACTGCAATCTGCAGGCACGGGAGGATCGGAGACATGGGAATCGGGGGCACCAGAACAAGGATGTTGCGCTGGTGTCTCTTTGAGGCAACTCAAACATGATTTTTTAGGGTGTTTGAGGGACTCAACCCACTCAAAAAGCAGGGACACCAGACTGGGGGTGTTGCGCTGGTCTGACCAGCAACAGCCTCTGCACCACGTTCCTGGCAGCATTGCGATGTACCACCGTGTTGTATGCGCTGCCATGCCAGACCTTCCAGGTTATTTGCAAATCACCGCACTCACCTTAGACTGGGGCGGAGTCACTCGCAGCAGCCGCTGCACCACAGTGAGGGCGGCGTTGCGGTAGGGGAGGAGGATGAGCACCTTGGGCCGCGTGAAGCCCTGGTCCCTTGGTATGCTCTCTATCTCGGTCAGCTCCTTCCCCTCCACTCCACCCGCCCCCTTCTTCCCTCTCCTCCCACCACCCTTCCCTCCTTTCTTGAACAGCTGACTTTCCGTTCCAGCCTCCCCCATCTCTGCCTCCCCCATCTCTGCCTCCCCCTTCTCTGTCCCCCTTTCCTCCCCTTCCTCGCCCCCCTCCCTGCCCTTCCCCCCCTCCCTCTCCTCCCCCTCCTTCTCTCCCCCCCCTTCCCCCTCACCCTGGACTCCTTTCCCAGAGCTGGCTGCAGCTATTTCTGCCCCAGCCCTTTTTCTCTGTGCCTGGTCGCTGCTGCCTTTACTCCTCCCCTTCCCTTTGCCAACCCGAGTTGCAGTGTCAGCCGCAGCAGCCGCATCAGCAGCAGCCATGGCAGCAGCAGAGGCTCGGTTGAGCTTGTCGTTGTTCTTCGTGATGCGGTCACGGGTGTGGAACACATGGTTTATCTGGGGGAGGGGGGGAGGGGAAGAAGGTGGGAGGGGAAGAAGGGGGGTGGGGAAGAAGGGGGGTGGGGAAGAAGGGGGGAGGGGAAGAAGGGGGAGGGGAAGAAGGGGGAAGGGGAAGAAGAGGGGAGGGGACGAAGGGGGGTGGGGAAGAAGGGGGGAGGGGAAGAAGGGGGGAGGGGAAGAAGGGGGGGGGGGGGGAGGGGAAGAAGGGGGAGGGGAAGAAGGGGGGAGGGGAAGAAGGGGGAGGGGAAGGGGGGAGGGAAGAAGGGAGGAGGGGAAGTAGGGGGGAGGGGAAGAAGGGGGGAGGGGAAGAAGGGGGAGGGGAAGGAGGGGGGAGGGGAAGAGGCGGGGAAGAGGGACACACAGGAAGAAGCAGAGGCTCGGTTGAGTTTATCGTTGTTCTTGATGATGCGGATGCAGTCACGGGTGTGGAACACGTGGTATATATGCGTGAGGGGGGAGGGGCGGAAGGGGGGGGGAAAGGGAGGAGAGGGAAGGATGGGCACATAGGGTGGCTTGGTTGAGTTTGTCGTTGTTCTTGGTAATGCAGTCACGGGTGTGAAACACGTGGTTTATCTTGGGGGGGGGAGGGGGAGGGAGGAGGGGGAGGGATGGGCACATGGGGAGGCTTGGCTGATCTTGTTGTTTTTCTTGGTGATGCGGTCTCGGGTGTGGAACGCGTGGTTAAGCTGGGAGAGGGGTGGAGGAGGAGGAGGAGGAGGAGGAGGAGGAGGAGGAGGAGGAGGAGGAGGAGGAGGAGGAGGAGGAGGAGGAGGAGGAGGAGGAGGAGGAGGAGGAGGAGAGAGGAAGGGGGGGGTGAGATGAGCAAGGAGAGTACACACACACAGCACAAAGGATTGCTGCAAGAGGGAGCACACACACACAGCACAGGGAAGCCCGGAGTGTAGAAAATGAAAGAAAGATGAAAAGAAAAGAAAGAACACACAGCAGATGAATGAGGGAAAGGATCCACATACAGGGATGCAGCACATGCTAAGTGGGCATCTGTGATAGCCTGTGCATCGAGTGGCGTGCCGAATGTGGACTGAGCGCAAAGACACAGCATATGGAGCATGCAGGCATCGATCGACTCGAGGGCAAGTGAAAGCGTTCCGTGAGGCAACTGCAGAAAGTAGGCATCCGTGATGGCCTGTGCATCCAGTGGCCCGTGCATCCAGTGGCGCGAGAAACTTGGACGCCGTGCAAAGTAACCATATCATGCAGCATGTAGGCAATGACCTGGCAAGCAAAGGTACATTACCGCCTGCAGCAAGTAGGCATCCGTGATGGCCTGTGCATCCAATGGCGTGCCAAACTTAAGCTGAGCACAAAGCCACAGCACATGCAGCACATGCAGCACGTGCAGCACATGCAGCACATGCAGCATGCAGGCATGGACCAGAGGGCGAGGGGACATTACCGCGTGCAGCAGGTAGGCATCCGTGATGGCCTGTGCATCCAGCGGCGTGCCAAACTTGGACTGAGCGCACGGGCGGCGAGAGTGAAGCACGTCCGAGTATGACGTGCCTGTGGAAGAGAGGGGGGAAAGAGGGTGGGGGGGAGAGGTGGAGGGGGAGGGAAGGGGGAGGGGGAGGGGGAGAAGGAGGGGGGGGGGAGGGAAGGGGGAGTGGGAGGGGGGGTGGTATGGAGAACTCAAATCTTTGAAATTACATTTCTGGAAACGCCTCAGGGGGGCATTAAATAGGAGATTCCAACTACATTGCAGTCAAGGAAGTAAGGATGGGTGGACATGGCCTGTTGCAAAGGCTCACAGAGGGAAAAGAACTGCTGCTGATGGTCGCTCACAAACCCATTTGTCTGCTCCACTGGCGCCAAAGCTTCCCCCAAAGATGACACAGCTGCTGATCCAGCCACCGCTGATGAACCATTCTTCCCCCTCTTCCTCTTCCCCAGCTCTTTAGCCCCATGCTTTCCGTTCGGTCCACAACTCTTGCCAGCGCTACTGCCGCCACCACTGCTGAAACTGCTGCTGCCGCCTCCCTCCTGCCTCAATCGGAGCAGCGGCTCATAGTCCTCCTCACACACCCTCTCCCACTGCTCCTTCAACCGCCACTTAAACCCCTCCCATGCATCCACCCCCTCCTCCTTCTTGTCCTTATCCGTCTCTTTATCCGCAGCTGCAGCCCAAGGCAGTGCATGGTCAGCCACCCACTTGCCGCCCGGAACGCCCATTGCCGGCCACTCATAGGAGAATTTGAGCGGCTTGCCGCCCCCTGCACTTCCTGCACCGGCCAGACCACCAGCACTGCCACTGCCGTTGTTCCTGATGGCTGATTTCTCCACGCCCTTGACTTTCTTGCCTCCAGCACGTGCATCTGTAACAGTAGCAGTGCCCATGCCAGTACCCGTGCTACCAGCAGTGGCGCTGGCTGAACCGCCCAGCGAGAGGAGCTCTTGTGGGGTGAGCATGTGGGACATGCGGAGCGAGAAGGGGCTGGATAGAGGGTGGCACAGAACGGGAGGGAATGCAGGGGAGCTCTTGAGAGGTGAGCATGTGGGACATGCGGAGAGAGAAGGGGCTGGGGGGGAAAGGGGGGTGGGGTTGGGAGAATGCGAAAGAACGGAGAGAAAGACTCTTCTCCAGAGTGCGCGCATGGGATAAGGGGGGGGGGGAAGGGCCGGGGGAGGAGGGTTGGGGGAGGAGTGGCAGGACGGTCGAGAAAGCAGGAAGAGAGGTTGTACAGGAGTGAGTGAGTGGGCGCCATATAAAGACAGGACAAGGAAGAAAAGGGGAGTGTGAAGAAAGGGGAGTGTGATAATACAAGAGTGTGACATAAGGTGAGTGTGATAAATCAAGAATAAGACATGAGGTGAGAATGTGATAATGCGAAAATGTGACTTAATATGAGAATGTAACAGGCAAGAAAGAGAAAATGTTGAAACGTGACCGGGATGAGAGGTGGGGTTGGGTCTTCTTACTCTTGCTTGATCGCACTTTCTGTCTGGCCATCTCCCACTTGTGCTTCCTCCTCATTCACTCCCCCCTCCTCCTCCCCATCCTCCCCCTCCTCCTCCTCATCACCACTGCTGCCCTCTCCTGTTGCTTCAGCAGCAGCATGAGCACGTGCCCCCTCGCCCTCATCCTCCTCTTCGCTTTTTGATTCAGAATCCGACCCTCCTTCCTTCTCCCCTCTCTGCTCCTCCTCTCCCTCTTCGTCTTCACTCATATCCTCCTCCTCCCCATCCTCATCTTCCTCCCCCTCCTCCTCCTCCTCACTCTCTATCCCCAGTGCGTCTCTCTCCCTGTAACCAGCCATAGTCGTCCAAAAACACCATACACATGAGCAATCATATGCACACAAACACACGGGCGATTGTTTCATCCCATATGCATGCTTGCACACAAATACGCGTATGAGCAATTACACGTCTCGAGGGAAGTCTCACTCGCAAGCATCACAATTCTCGCCTCTACACTCGCTCTGAGACTCCATAAGTCACCAAGGTGAATTCGCAACGACTAAATACGGCCTAAACCCTGTACCTGAAACCCTAGACTTGTGCCACACATTCCTCCAGCCGAATTCCAAAAACGCTGAAAGGAAAAACCCAAATCCATTGTGTTCACGCACAATCGCACATAGAAAAAACCACAATGGACCAACCCCCAACCTTTTGTCCTCTCCCTACCTCTGCGAGTAGACCTGTGAGAGCGCGCCACGTGTACTCTTGCCCAGCGACGCCAGCAAGGCCGAATAAGCGTCAGGACCAGCCACACTCAATCCTAAACCCGCACCCTCTTCCTCATCCTCCTCCTCTTCCTTCCCCCCATCCCCCGTTCCCCCTTCTTCTGCGCGCCCCCTTTCCCCAGGACGAGATCCCCTTCCCCCCTTCCTCTGCCTCCGCGTCGTCCCCCTCCCCCTCGTTGCCTCCCTGCGCTGCTAGGGCTGCTTCCCCTGCCCCTCACCCGCGCATCCCCCTTTCCCATCCCCCCCCCATCCTGTCCCCCCCCGAAGGAATACGCTGCGCTTCCGCCAGCGCGCGCAACTGCCCCTCCGCGCCGACCCCCCCTCCCCCTGCCTCTCCCTCTTCCCCTGTGCCGGCCTACTGGTCCCATGCGATCCTACTCTACCAACGTTCAAGCTCTGTCTCCTCTCGCTTTCACGGCAAATGTAACCTAACAGCGGTCAAATATCGACGCCTAGAAGACCCGGATAGTCCCGGCAGCCCCGGTTGCTTTTAGAATCTAGTATCACTGCTCTGTCGAACTATACGGAGCCAATTGGAAAATCTTGTACTGGTCGGGTTCAGGGTGCGGGATTTCAGTATATTGCCCGCATTACGCTGACTCTTGGAAAAAAGCATGTTCTAATATTCCTTGGTCGGTAGGGAAATAAATGGTTGAAAACAAGATATGGCAAAAGTAGAAACTATAATTTAAATGGCTGGTATATGGCACAAGGATTTGGTTCGGAACGTTGTTCAATAAATCTCAACATGTTGAACTGTTATTTGTGTGGTGGTACGTGAAGTAGTGAGTTGAACCAGGAAAGGCCTCTTCTCGCCGAATCAATAGCGCGGACAGATTCAGCTGCCCCACCTCCTCTTCCTCGTCATTCCCAGTGCTCCATCGCCGCCTCGCACAAGCAGACCCATCCCCGAGCCAGATTAGCGAAGGCTACGGCGGTTCTCTTACCATGGGGCTGTGCGAAGGCTTCGTCAAAGGTGGCTACTGGTTCGGTTGTAACATTCTGTGGCAGGCAGCGGAGTCAGAGCGCCACTTAGGTTGGGACAAATTTAGTGGCGGGAAACAAGGAATAATGCGCCTCGAGGACGCGCGAATCAAACATCAGCGGCGGAAGACGCCTCGAGGATGTCTCCCGCGAAGCTGCCTTATCCTTTCACTCCGCCGATTCCCTCTGGCGTGGCGTGACAACGCAGCAGCCAGCGAGGCTCGCAATTTGAAACCCCAATCCCAGGGGAGCAGAGGGTCTCAGCTCAGGCTGAGGCTGAGATTCGAGCCGATCAGTTTCCGGTAGTTTCTCATCGAGTCTGCGGCAAAGTGAAACGAATTTCTGCCTTTAGAACACTAGCGGGACTTCCTTTGCAATACCAGCATGGATTCAAATGCGGAAACCACTCCTCGTGAAGTGGCGAAGATCGACAACACCGCGTCAACGAGAACCAGCTCTCCGAGCAGGATTAGAGGCATAGGCAGATTTGGCACGCCTAACACGGTGATCTCTTACGGATCGCATGGCGTCGCCAAGTCAGCTTCCGACCCTGACTCTCTTCTTCCGGTTAGCAACAACAAGGCTATCAGCGACACATGCAGCAGTGAGCCTGTCAGTAGTAACTGCTGCAGCAGCGTGAGCGGTATCGTGTCTCTGAAGAGCGTGAGGCCTCTGCTGGAGACTCTGGTTAAGCAGAAGGCGGAGTCAGCCGTATTTTCCGCTGCAGCCGCCAGCAGAGGCATTGGAAGATTCGGCAAGCCTGTCCACGTGGCGTCTTTTAGGTCACGCCGTGCCAACAGGCCCTTCTGCTTCAAGCCGCCTCAGTCTCACGTGCATGCTGACAGCAAGGCGCCGTCCAACGACGACTGTTGCAACAGCGTTGTATTTAAGAGCATGAGACCGCTGCTGGCGAATCTGGCGAAAGAGAAGGAGACGTCTTCCCAAGTCTTGTGTATTGGCAATCAGACTCTGAAAGCGAAGAAGGTGCAGCAGAGCAATGCATCGGTGGACGTGAAGAGGCGTGGAATCGGCCGTTTCAGAAGGGAAGTTTCTGCTTGTCAGGCTGCTAATGCGTCCCCTTCTCCGTGCACATCACGTGCTGCGTTACCAGCGGTTGCAACTACAACGAAGGTGACTCAAGCGGGCGTGCCTCCTCCAGCGGCTGCAGTAGCATTGGTAGCAGGTGCCAGTGCGTCAGTGTTGACCCCAGCTGCTGGGGCCGACCATGTGGTGCACAAGGAAGAGGTGCCTGGCACCAACTCAAGCAGAACCTCTGGCAACAACCCTAGCAGCAACCCTGGCAACAGCAGCAGCAGCAGAAGCAAGGAGCGTGTGCGTCTCCTAAGGAGTATGCGGTCCATGGTGCGGGATCTGGTGAAGGAGAGAGCAGAGGTGAGGGGGAGGGAAGGAGAACCTGCCAATCGTGTGGCTGACAGTCACCGATCCACCAGGCGTCGTCTCAAGCAAGTCCTGATGCAGCTGGCCGTGCAACGTGTGGAAGCCAGCCGTTCTTGTGAGGTGAATGGGACGGAGGTCGGCTAGAGTGGAGGAGGGGGGCTTACTACCACAGCAAGCAGGTTCCACGCAGGTTGAGGTCGGAGTAGCTCATGGGAGGGAGGGAAGAAGCAGGTAGGTGCGCGAGGATTGGCCAGTCAGTACCCAGAAGCCAGTGATATTAGCGGATTGGGGGAAGCAGCAGGTGGAAAGGAGGGAGTTTCCTGCCAGTGAGATTCCAGTCAGGGAGTTCCCAGTGGTGGCGTTTTGAGTGCATGAGGGACAATTGAGGTGGCTGGTGAAGCAGCAGGGAGCAGGGAAGATCCTCTTACGTTACGAGGACCGCTTCGGGGTAACCTTATTGGGTGCAAGCATGGCCATACCATATCGCGTGTCAGCAGTTGTATGCTGGCATGGCATGGCAAGTGATGGAGTTGTTCGTTTTCAGGCAAGCCTGGTGCAGCAACCACAGCAAGGGGTCATCGTCTTGGGTTGATTCTGTTGGCACTTTGGTGTCTCGGTGGTACATCGTTCACTGGTGCTTGACTGGTTGCAAAGCCCTAGATGACCATGGTTGGTGTGCCTCGTCCCAAGTGTGTAGTGTACATGTTGTACGACATCTAGAGGCTGTTGCGGCAGGAGCCTGGCAGAGTCAAGTGGCTGGAAGACAATGCCATAGCACATAAGCATCAAGTTCAAAGCCAGGTACAACTACATGTAGGCAATGCACTGCTGCAAAGTGTCTGTAAGAAGCAAAACTACATGCAGGCAATCCAGTGCGGCATTCCAGCACCGAGCATGATCAGCAGAGAGGTTCTGAACTGAAATATCTGCCACTGCTGCAGCACTGGAAGGGCGCACTGCATTGGCCTGCAATCACGTCCCGCTGAAGCAAGGACTGCAAGCTACGTACTTGATGACAATAGCCGGTGCTTGCTGCAAGCTATGTCCCATGTACTCTGAGGCACTTCACTCATCAATGCTTGCTTGCCTCTTTCCTCCACTCAAGCTCCAAATCACCCTCCCCTCCCCCTCCCCTTCTCGACTGTACAGTATCATCAAATCTTGGTGTGAGTGGGGATGAGCACACGGTCGACCCCATGGGCAATGAACCAGCGGCCTACATACAGCCCTGGGATGCGAATAGTGGTCCACTGCGCCTGCTTCAAATACGGCCCTTTGGCAAACGACACCGCGCTGCTATTCGCCGCCGTCATCTTGAACACCGGCTGCCGGAGCTGTGTGCCCACCGCCACCCGCTGCTTCACCTGGCGCAGCTGCGGGACGGTCATGCGCTTGCGCAGGATGTGGAACGCTGTGATGTTGTACACCGTGGGGATGCTGCTGCTCTTAGCGGGGATCCTCTTGGCGAGCGCCTCTGCCTGCGCGTTGTTGGGAATGAGGATGGACGCGTCTCGCAGCGCTGATAGGTCGTACCTCGAGTTCACTGGGAAAGAGGGGGGGGGGGGGGGAGACAGGAGGAGTGAGAGTGAGTGATTTTGGAAAAAGATAATGATTTTGGGGGGAGGAGAGGGGGGGGGGGGAGAGGGGAGCGGAAGGGGTGTGGGAGGGGAGGGGAGGGGGCGGGGCAGGGAGGAAGAGTTAACTTGGTTTCGACAAGCGGAGGGGAAGGGACGAACAAGTAACGGTCCAACCAAGGTCTTACGAGCGAGGTTGATGGGTTTCGAGGCGTCCTGCGCGTATCTAGAACCACCCGTAGACGAGGAGGGATGGGAATGGGATGGGAATGGGATGGGAATGGGAAGATCAGGGTTCTTACGGGCGAGGTTGATGTATTTGGAGGCGTCCTGCGCGTATCTGGAGTACTGCGGGTACCGCTTCACGATGCTCTTAGTCATCGCCTGCAGCTCCGCGCGCAGCTGCGCCTTCGTCGGCGGAGCAGGCGCCTTCTGCGCGCCGATTCCCGGCACGCACGCTGCTGCTATGCATGTGGCTACTAGTAGTGCGACGAGCAAGCCGCCTCCGAGCCGCGCCGCCATTCCTGGTGATTGTTTGAAGCCTCGTAAACGTATTTTCGCCTTGCGAATGCGAGGATGCACGCGGATTGAGAACGGAGCGCGTGGATTGCGGATGGTGCAAGCGAATCGGTGAACTTAGGGAACAGTAAATAACTCGGCTGATGGTGCGCTGGGCCTGTTTTTCTGAGCGGGATCCGGTGGTTGGTGGCTGGACCTGTTGTTGCTTGAATGGTTGTCGCTTGCTGGGCTGAAAGCTAGGTTGCCGTCGTATTAGGTTGCTAGAAGGTTGTTGTAATGAATGCAGATATGAGCTAAGCCGTACTTATAGGATAGCGAGAGCGAGAGGAATGTCTTGGTCGGATCGCCCCTTTCCCAATAACGCCTAGAAGCACACATCGGGACGAGACGACTCGCCATCGACACGCGACGAAGCTGAGTCACCGCCAAACAGCCGTGCCGCGCCGCGTCGCTCCGGCGTGTGACGGCTTGCGGCATAACGCGACAACGCACGGAGCGATTGTGGGAGGACGAACGAGACGCGAACACGGCCTTGTCTACATTCGACCCTAGGAGGATCCTTCAACCTTAGACGATCCTCTAGCAGACTAGCACACTACACTACCTTCATAGAAACAGAGCTGCTGTACAGGACCATTCGGCCAAGGGGGGTGGCGACTGGCGAGACGATTGACGCGTGTGCGACGAGCCGACGACGCGGTGTACGACGTCTGTGATTCGGTGCCTGCGAGTTGCGAGGAAGCTGGCAAACCAAAATGCCTTGCAGGGATTGATTTCGATAAGAGTGTAAGTTATGGTATTTTCCCAATGTTCCCTCACGACAAAGCGTGTAACACCTTACTCAAACATTAGCAATGCTGGAAAATGGTTTGTGCAAGAACATGAAGGTTATGATTGAAAATTGTAACAATCAAATGGACATTGCCAAGTGGCTGCAGGTATCTGCCATACCGATGCATATGGCATTGGTTTCGCTTTTCATAGCCTAGACTTGTAGGATGTCCAGTACCGTTAGCATCGTAGATTGCTGCCACGGCACTGCCGCTACGGGTGACCCCGCACAGTATGCAACTGCAGTTGCTGCAACATGCTGGTGTACTGGCAGCCTGGCACTGCTGGGTGCAGCAGTCACTCTTGAGTACAAGTGGATGCAGTCCCCTGTCCAACATTGTTGCATTGCAATGTTGCATCTTCTACCTGCTTTGTGCTTGTCACAACACTGTTGACCCAGAAAAGCATACAGAGAGCAGAAGTCACACCCACTGGTCTTCACCAATAAACATGCGAGTCGGGCTTCCAGGGCTTGAAGTCATTTGCCGGCCCAGCAGTCCAGTTCAGCCGCTCATCCCCAGGCTTTAAATACGTCGACAGCGGGTGAGGCAGCTTCCTGGCAAGCCCGTTCAGCACCTGGTGAAACACATCCCCCTCCTGCGGCTGCGGGTGTCCCAACACCACGGCCTGCCTGATCGCATGCGATGCCAGCCTCTGCTGCATCGCCAGCACTCTCCTCGGCCCAATCCCCGCCAGAATCTCGTCCAGTTTCGGGACGTCTTTTTCCGGCACGAAGACGGCGATTTCACGCCACGGGATGACGTCCGAGAACGGCAGGACGATGTTGTCGGCCACTATAACAGGGATGCACCCGAAGAAGACCGACTCGACCAGGCGGGGGGACCAGGGCGCCCAGCCGAGCGGGCAGAGGCAGAAGAGTGAGCGCTGCATGTCCTCGTAGTAGGACGCGGGGTGCTCCGCTGACATGTCGAACAGCGGGTTGGTCTTGAAGTTCTCCCAGATGGATGCGCGTGCTCCCCTGGGTGAGATGAGGCAGAGGGGAGAACGGGAGGGAAAGATGGCACACACAAGTGGGGCGCTCCGCTGACATGGCGAGCAACGGTGCTGGTAGGAACGAAGGGCGCTGCTGCCACAGCGCTGCTTCAAGGTACCCGACACCACAGCTCACCTGGCATAATAACCGCCTTGGGGGTCGTTGTTGTGGTCATAGAACAGCCCGCGGAAGTACACAAAGATGGAGCGGGAGCATGTGGCCCGTGGGAGCGAAGGGCAGTGCCACGGTGCTGCTTCAAGGTATCCCAAACCATCTCTAGCTTGATGGCTCACCTGGCATAGTAACCGCCTTGGGGGTCGTTGTTGTGGTCGTAGAACAGCCCCCGGAAGTACACAAAGATGGAGCGCGGTGTGTCGGGGGGGATGCGGCGGCGGTGCATGTGGCCCGTGGGAGCAAAGGGCGGCACCACGATGCTGCCGGGCTTGTGGCACACGTGGTGGCTCTGACCAAACGTCTGCACCAAGGTGGCTCGCTTTAATAGGGGCATGATGCCGCGCGTTATGGCCTTCTCCTCCTGAGATTGGGATCCGCGGGGGTGGGCGGGTGGGGGAGTGGGGTGGGGGGGGGGAGGAGGGGGAGTTGTGGGGGGAGGATGGATAATGTATGAGCGAGGGAGTGTGCGTGGCATGGCTTGTGGCACCCATGGTGGCTCCGACCAGACGTCCGCACCAGCGTTGATCAGTTTAACAATGGCATGATGCCACGTGTAATGGCCTTCCCTCCCTCACATGAGGTTTGTTCTGCTTGCTCACACGCCTGGTTGGACTGTGCTGATGTAAGCCTGCCATACCATTGGCGCTGTGCAGTATGTGCTCTGTGCTGCATCACTCGCTATAGTCACACACACCCACACGCGCCGAAGTCATGCGGCGTGATGAAGAAATTATCCGCGCCGTCCGTGCAATTCCAATACGGCCATTTCTCCGCCACCAGCGAGATCGCCGCTTACCTCATAGTGAAAGCACGCGCCGAAGTCATGGGGGGTAATGAAGAAGTGATCCGCGCCGTCCGTGCGATTCCAGTACGGCCATTTCTCCGCCACCAGCGAGATCGCCGCGCGGAACATCCGCGGCGACCGGAACGGCAGCGGCAATCCCGAGGCGGTCAGGTCGCACGTGGGGTACACGGGCAGGTAGAACCAGTCCGCCTCGTCCGGGTTCGTCGTACGTACGGGGCTGTTCAAGATGTAACGGTGGAACAGTACTTCTAACGCGAACATGTGCGTCAGGCAGCGCGGCTGCTTCTTGATGAAGTTGTAGTTGTAATCGCGCGGCAGATCGTAGACGTAGATCTTGAGCCGCCCCACGGGATTGCCCACCAGCTCCTCCTGCTGCTGCCGCTGCTGCGAGCTCAGACTCGCGTCGCCGTCAGTGCCGCCGACATTGCCGCCGTCATTGCCGCTCTCCTCCGTCTCCGCGCCCTCCCTTCCTGATGCTGGCAGCACGGGGCGCGCGGGGGGCAACAGGGCGTCCCCGCCCGGGGGGCAACAGCGCGCGGGGGGGAGGGGGAGGGGGGAGAGGGGGGGAGGGGGGGAGGAGGACGGGGGAAGAATAGGGATGGGCGAGATCAGACTATGGTTGTCGGATTGTCAACGGAAGGCCTTACGCTACAGCGTGGACATTCTCAGCAATTCAACGCCTAGAACAAGCCTGCACGACCCAAGGGTATGAGACCGTGCACTAACACCTACGGAACAGGGCAGGGACAGACCTAGACTAGTTTCGACACGTCCCAAAACAAGCCTGAGACGCACCTCCTAGGCGT